CCACCCCACCCACCCGCACCCCCACCCCCACCCGCACCCCCAGTCCCCCCCCACCCCACCCACCCACCCCACCCCACCAGCGCCAGGAGCACACGACCACGCACAGACCACCGCCGCCCAGTGCCTTCCCCCGCCCAGTGCTCCACCACCTCTCAACCATCCGCCCTGACCAGCCCCGTTTCACATAATCGCCCGTCGCCCCCCTTGCCCCCCCCGGGCCCCCTCCCCTCCAGAACCTGGTGACCCTCAACTTCACACAGGAGGCTCGGGAGGCGGACTTCAGGTACGGGCTGGTGCGGGTGCGGGAGAACGCGGAGAGCATCGCCTTCTACGGCGGTGATCAGGATGAGAAGGAGCTCTTGAAGCAGGTGGGCGGCAGGGGGGGGGTACGGAGGTAGGGGGGAGGGGGAAGACGGACCACGTGAACGAGTGAAGCTGATGCAAAGGATAGACAGGTACGCCAGAAGTATGTAAGAAATAACTAACCAGTTGCGAGTTGCGAAGGAGAGCTGTTGTGTATCGGCTGTACGACTGTACGACTGACATGAAATCCGATTTAATAACTGGCTAAAGCACACCAGCTGGACACACATACATACATACAAACACCTACCCTGGGTGAGCCCGCCGAGGTTGGAAACCAAGCTCACTCCGACTACCACCCTTGCTCCCTCAATGAGCGAGGGCCTTATTCCCCCCTCAGCTTGACACACCCAGGTTGTTGGGTTCCGGGGGTGGGCGGCCTCGCCGCCCTCCACCACCCGGTACTTGATGACTCGTCCTCCTCCTCCTCCTGACCCCCCTCTACCCCCCTCTACCCCCCCCCCCCCCACACACACACAGCGCCTGCAAGCCGCCGTGTCCAACTACCTAGGGCTGTTGACCGCCTCCCGCAACCTGGACTTCTTCACCTCCTTCTACCGCTACCTCATCCAGCTGCTGCCCGCCGCGGTGGTGGCACCCCTCTACTTCCAGGTGGGTGGGTGGCGGGGGCGGGGGGTCTCTTGCCACATGACGACAACTGACCGCAACTCGCTGAGGGGGGGGCTGGGAGGGAGGACAGCTCCAAGGAGGGAGGGGGGCACCTCGGAGGGCGGGTTTGGGGGGGCCCTCGCCCCCGGGGTTGGCAAGGGGCAGCCGGGGGGCGGTGGGGGGGGGAACATCTGGGTGCGGGGCCCGCACCGCGGCCGAGGGATTGCTCGGAAGCTGCTAACGACCCTTCCAAGGTGCGATACGGCAGTGTACGGCGCCGGGCCCTCAATACTTGTGTTTATGTGTGAAATCCTGTCGTACGCAGGGTAAGATCGATTTTGGTGTCATCAATCAAAGTCAGTCCGCCTTCAACCACATCCTGAACGACGTCTCCCTCGTCATCTACCAGGTAGGTACGGCACCTGTACGGCAACCCATTAGGATTGCACTTAAGCTGGTCATCGAGGGTTGCGAACTCAGCCGTGCAGGGGAGAGGGGCGGTGGTGGCCGCCAAGATGTAGGCAGGCAGCGCGTACGACACGGACTCCAAAACCTCAGATGCCGTACATCCACTCCCTGTGGGTTCTTACCGACGCCTGCGGCATTGTCGTGTGGTTGGGAGTGGGGCGGCACCTTGCGCCCCCTGCACAGTCGTACACGCGACTGACTGACCATGTTGCTGACCCTCACAGCCGGTACGTCTTCATCCGCCCTCGGACCACAGCCCCCCCCCCCGGAGGCCCCTACTCACAAGTCTCATTGCAGAGCCCGCTCGGCGCCCTCGCGCTTTAACCGGCCCACCCACTGCCCCCCCGCTCCCTCCCCCCCCCACACACACACCTGCAACCCCCCCGCAGATTGAGGCGCTGGCGGGTTTCAGTGCGGTGGTGGACCGGCTGGGGGAGTTCCAGGAGGCCATGACTGTACGGCAGGACCAGCAGGCCAGACTGGCGCGGATGGCGGGAGAGGAGCAGGAGGAGGGGAATGGGACGGCGGGGGAGAGTGTGGTCGCGGCGGGAGTGCTGGAGGGGAACAGGCAGCAGCAGCAGCAGCAGCAGTCAGTGGCGGTTGGGGAGGCGGTTGGGGAGGAGGAGGCGGTGCCGCTCCCGGGCATTCAGTTGCGCTTCCTGGGGAGTGGGGCGGGAGGAGGGGGAGAGGGAGAGGGTAGCAGGGGAGCCGTCAGCGGTCAGAGTCATGAGGCTGTTGGACCCACGGGTCGGCCGGCCCTGTTGCAAATACACGACTTGACAGTGGTCACCCCCCGGGGCAACAATCTGTTGCTCCAGAACCTGGACCTGCAGGTAGGGTCTGTATGTGTGCGTGTGTGTGTTCGAGCATGCGGGGGCGAGTGGTGGTTCCCATGGGGGGGTGTACACAGGGCCCCCGGTTCGCGATGCGGCCACGCCGATAACGAAACAGATATCTGCAGGTGTGGTGGTTAAAGTGGGGTCCAGACTCGTGAAGAGTAGAGCAGCAGGTGCGGTGTCCGGGGGCCCCCGCGATAACCCGTCCCACCCGAGGGGAAAACACACCGCACGCACGCAACCAACCGCTCGGAACGTATGCCCCACTCCGACCCTCTCAACATTTCTTCCTCCCCCTTCCCCCTCTGGTACACTCTTGCCCTGGCAGCAGCTTCACTCATTCGTGGTTCGTCTTTCCCCTCCCCCCCCCATACCCTCCCCCCAGGTTTGCCCCGGCTCGTCCCTACTTGTGATGGGGCCCAGCGGCGCGGGTAAGACCAGTTTGTTGCGGGCAGTGGCCGGGTTGTGGTGCGAGGGCCGAGGCCGCATCGAGCTGGGGGCGGCGCGTCGGGAGGTCATATTCCTGCCGCAGCGGCCGTACATGGTCCTGGGCTCGCTCCGAGACCAAGCTCTGTACCCCAGGTACCAAGGGGGGAATGTACGGCGGAACATGGGACGTGTGCGGAGGGGGCCAAGCGCGCGGAAGATCGCCGATTAGATTTGCGGCGGAAGCGAGGGCGGTATCGCGCGGCTAGGACGTGAGGCTAGATGTCCCCCTGGGGGGTTGCGGTCCTGCGGAGTCGGGCGGGCGGGGGAGGAACCGGGCACTTCGGGGGCTGAAAGGTGCCTGTGTTTCTGTTTGTGTTTGTACATGTGTTTGATGTATACATATATGTATGTGTGTGTGAGTGTGTGTGGAAATGTCTAAGCTGCGCTTCTAGCGGTAGCTCTTATATAGGCCTTACGACTTGGAGGGTTGGGGGCATGTGCTGGAGGCCCCGGGACTGTTAGCTCCTGCCTGTTCGGACCCTAGGGTATCTCGGCCCGGATCTGGCCCGCCCAGCCGTGTATTCCCCCGCCTGAGGGCAGCACCCGGGGGAGGAGCGGCAGGGGTATGTCCGGCAAGGGCCTCCAGCATCCCGACTAACTAACAACCCTCCCGTGCACCCCTCGCGGCTGCGGCGGCGGCTGCAGGCACCTGCACCAGTGATTTTTTTCATTTAGGGCGGGTCTCAATTTATTCCAACCTAAGTAACAAAGTTGCTAAGATCGCCGTAATGTATTCCTTAAGTGTAGGGCGCTGGGGGGGCCTACGCCCCCCCGGACAAGTTACAACTCCCCTCATAGACCAAGAGGCACGCACTGCGTTGGCGCGTTTTCGTTCATGTGCGCACTCTTCATATGCACATGCATAGATAGTTCTGGCACTGTTTGTGAGCAATAAGTAAATCCGACCAAGCAAAGGCCCAAAGCAAGCAACCGCATAGCAACAAATCACAGGCCGCCACCCGCCGCTGCAAACCACAGCACACTAGGACTCTACCGGTTCATCATGTTCCGGCCCCTGCTGCTGCTGTCCAGCCACTTCCTCAGTGCGTCAAGGAACGGGAACGTGCCCAGGTCGAACAGGCCTGGGTAAACATCCGCACACACAATGCTAGGTGCTCGTCCAGGCGGTTGCAGGTGGGGTCCTGCAAGTACCCCATGGCCGAGAACCCCTCATATCTATTCTATGATTGATAATACTAACTTCTGCACAATACGGAGCAATCTGGCAGCAATGGACGTTTTTGGAGGAATGAAAATGTACGGATCGACCACAATTCATTCCGTTTTTCCAAAGGCCAAAATGGCCTGTTTATTCCTTTTAAGGAATATAAATTACTTACTATAAAAGCCACTGACCTGCACGCGACGGAAACCCGCACCGCGGCCATTCATCTAGCCGACCAGACAATCTCCACCCCACCCCACCTTCTCTTCCCCCCCGTCGTCTCCTCTCGTATCGTTCTTTGTCCCCCATCTTCCCCCCTACCTCCCTTTTGTCCCCTCATCGCCTTCATATCGCATGATGTAGCTCCTCTCCCCCCCTTCCCTCTCTCCCCCGCCTCCCGCATCAGGCGCTGTGGTGAAATTGGAGAGCCCGCAGCGACTGGTAGGGAACCTGCCCTCAGCGATGATGGCAACAGCACCTCCACCTCCTCCGCGCCCTCCTCCGCGCCCTCCTCCGCGCCCCCCGGTGGGCAGCTGCCGGATGACTGGGAGGTGTTGCGGGTGTTGGAGCTTGTGCAGCTGGGGCACTTGCTGACCAGATACGGTGAGGATGTGGGGGGTGGGTGAGAGAGTGTGTGTAAGAGTGTGTGAGAGTGTGTTTTAATGATAAGAGGGGATGCCGATGGTGGTGGTGGTGGTACACTAATATGTTTACAGAAAGTGAGCTCCGTAGTCACCAGTAACGTGTTAGAGTTTTCCAATAAAACCGTAGACGTAGCTGCCACTCCGCAGCCCCTCCATCCGGGGATGGCGCTGCAGTGAAAGCACCACGAAGGGCTCTCAGGTCCCGCTAGAGCGAGTCCACAAGTCTCAGCTAGGGCAAAGTCAAAGGCTCTCTGAACAACCCCCCAAAACACAACCAACGACAAAGGGATCCCAAGGGAGAAAAAAAGCAAAAAAATGTATACCACCACCCTGTAAACTGCAGGTTGGTATAGCTTCACCAGCGGCCCCCTTTCCCTTGGAGACAGTTCCCTGCTCTCCCCTGCCAGAGGGGCACCCTAATCCGTCACCCCATCCGACTTCAGAATGTATTCGTTGGGTTCAGCAACTCACGACCAGCATCCAACCAAATCTAGCGGATCAACGGCGCCTCAACTTAGTTCCTGGTCAGCTCGCAAGTTGATATTATCACGTCCTACACCGTCCATAAGATGGGGGCCACCTCCCATTTCAACACTTCTCAAACACCCGAGAAGTCGGCAGGCGTATGTATGTATGTATGTATGTATGTATGTATGTATGTATGTATGTATGTATGTATGTATGTATGTACGTATGTGGTGGAGGAGGTGGGGTTGACAAGGATTAGCAAGCAGAGGAGCACAAAGCCCAAACCTACAGGTTTAGCAAAAGGCTGAATCCGTGACTTTAAGGCCTTTGCTTATCGCTGCCTGTTTTCCAAAATGTAAATGAACTGCATTTCCGTTTCCCTCCCCCGGGGGGGGGGGCGTCAGGGCCGCACTCCTCCCGCACAGCCACCGCCCCGGGACGTGTCAGCAGCAACGGCAATGGTAACAAAGCCAACGGTCTCAACGGTACCGGACAAGGCGCCGCATCTGCCAGCGGGTCCTCGGAGGCGGCCGCCTCATCATCATCATCATCATCTGCTGCTGCTGCTGCGGCCTCCGTCCTTGATACCGTAGCGGACTGGTCTAGCTGCCTGTCACTGGGGGAGCAGCAGCGCCTGGGCTGGGCGAGGCTGCTCCTATCTCGGCCCAAGCTGGCATTGCTTGATGAGGCAACCAGCGCGCTTGATCAGGATACGGAGGCGAGGCTGTACAAGGTGGGCCATGGACGGGAACGTGGGCCGGCGGGCGGTGGGACATGGGCAGCCGAGGGATGTGCGAAGGAATGGATAAAAGATGCCGCCTCCTGGCCCCTTGCGCTCCGGGGATTTTGGGCGAATTGAAGGCCTGTACGGCGCGGCCCGGAGCTTCCTGCCCCTTGTCCATCCCATCACTCCCCGCATCGCCGCTACCGACACCTTGTTCCTCCCTTCCTTTCCCTTCCCTCTAGGTTCTTCAGCAGTCGGGTATCACGTACATCTCGGTGGGCCACCGCTCCACGCTGCGGGAGTTCCACAAGACATTGCTGCAGCTCAGACCCGACGGCGCGGGCGGGGTGGCGTGGGAGGTACGGCAGCTGGCCGAGCCGCAGGTCGCGGCTGAGGCTGAGGCTGCCACCGTGCGGGTGACCGCTCCCTAGGGGGGCCCACGGCTGAGACAGTGGACGACACGCGGACACGCACCCCCTTTCTTTTAAAATTGTATATTTCAAATAGATAGACACCAGCACCAGAGCGGAAGCAGCAGCGGAGGCAGCAACAGAGAGGAAGAATTACAAGAGCATGAGAGAGGTGGAGGGATGCCTGAGAGGGAGATGAGGGCGGAATGAGGGAGGGAGGGAAGCTGGAGGCACGCGAGTGAGCGGCGCGAGTTCGGGTAACGGTTCTGGACATTGCGGAGCTTCTGAGGGCGCAGACAAGGTCCCGTGCTTGGATGACGTCGTGGTGAGCGAGCAAAGGGAGCGAGGACCCGGTCTTTCCTCTTTTGCCGCTCTTGTGGGGGAAAGACCCACCTTGGATGGCCGCCTGCATTGCGTGGCCTTGGCCTCGGGGCCGGTGCGCTGCAACACACGGGCTGCGACCAGTCGGGGTTAGTTGGAAGTGAGAACGCTCCGTCAGCATCATCGCCCCACCCCAGGGCGGCGAGCGTGCCGTGATTGTACATTTACATGTAATGTAGGTGCAATGCGTCGATGTGTGAAAAACGAATGCTACATGTGTTACGCTTGGAGAGTGAATGTCGTGTGGTGTTGTTGTGTGGATAAAAAATTGCACTCGCGTGTGCAGGTTGCATGGGCCGCGTCATTCAGACCGGCCCGCTATTGTGTTGTACATTTTGAGTTGTTCATGGGCAAATCTGAAACCCTGACCTGGACAGTCCATGAAACAAGTCCATGTAATGATGTATCATCTGTGCGAGGTTAGTGTCCTCGTGTGTACGGCTGATCGTGGTGAGAGTGACCACAGCGAGTCGACAGAGCACTTGCATTGCTCGCGACGATGATGCAGTGCTTTTCGTGTTGCGCGGGTGTTATTGCCGGTCGATGATGGTGACCTCGTAGCCCATATTGTACGAATACACCTCTGGGAAAAGTCTTTGTTGGCCTATTGGGAGCCTGGTACACATCCTTCGCGTTGGTTTGTATCATCCTGGCGTAGTCTGGTCATGAAAGGGGTTGGTTTAAATTACTCCTTTCAATTCCCTTCGACTGATGGATGTTTGGCAGTTTGGCCTGGCGATGAGAACTCAATACATTGTGGGGTCACGTCCCTGTCTGCTCTCTCGCACAGGCAACGCGAGCATACCTGTCTCCACCCATATGAGTCGAAAGCCATGTTAGGGGTATGCAGGAGAGCCTCATTCACTGTCACACACGCCATGAGGCATCATGGCATCACCGCCTCTACCCAGGATCTCTATCTCTCTCTTTCTCTCTCCCTCCGCTCGACCTCACCAACGCGGTCAACTGGCCCGGAGGAGCGCCAGCTGTGTCACCCAACCAAGCTAGCCGCTACACAGCGACCCGATAATTGCAGCAAGCGCTGATATCAATGAAGACGGACAAACAGGTCACGGCCTCAAGGAAACAGGCTGCCAATAAAAACTCACACGCCTCTTCTGCCAGCCTGTCCGACCGAATCCACCCCGTCACTCTCCCCACCACCGTCAATCTACGGATAGAGGCAGCAAAACTTATATAATGCAGCGCCAGAGCGCAGCCCCGTCTGGGTCGCGCCCCTGCACCGCTAGTAGCTACAAACAAACTGCCGTGACGTTTGATGAGACAACCGTCGCGCTGAATGCGGGAGAAGAGATTATACCTCGCAACGGTCACTCGGCGAGGTTGCGTGGTGCCAAAAGAACACCACACGCACTTCGGGATGATTTTGCCGCCGAACGAAGCAGCAAAACGTCTTTTGCGTGTGCAGCACATTGACGGGATGCAAGCACTCAACCCACTACTACATTGAAACCGAAAACCACTCTCACCAGTTCAGTGCACAAACGTTCAATACAACGCGCAAAGCCACCACAGCCACAACGTGTGCTATAAAATGGATGATACATGAAAGCCGTTGGCGCAGGCGTTGGCGTGCGATGACGAGGGTTTGCATAATGTCATGGTCATGAAGGGAGGGAGAGGGAGGGAGGAGAGGGGTTTGTCGGTCAAAACGCACGCACGCCACCGCCCCCTTGGTCCACATGCGAAAAATATCCACCCAGCCAACCGAATATGGCCCCGGGTCTTTCCCCGCGAGCTAAAGAACCTCCGGTCGCAGCCAGGTTTTTTCTGCAGCATGAATCGCGGCGCCTCAATGTTCGGAAGAATCCTTGTGGCTATCGTGTAGTCATTTTCACCGTCGGCTCCGTGGGGGCGGAGGAGTTGTGTCCAAAGAGTAATTCGGTCATTCGGTCAACGTCGAATGGCACGGGTAAGGAAAATCGGCGCTTCATGCACTTCACACTTTCACGCCACTGCGCCTGCGTGCCAGTCAAGACTTCGGGGGGCACAATAATGCTGATGACACCATACAAAAGAGACTTAAAAGACGCACTGATACACTGATAGCATAAAAGAGATTCAACTTTGCCCTCCCCTCCGTCGCCGTCTGGAGAAACAACACTAATGCCGAGCCAAAGAATAGCGCTGACATTCGCTGGCCTTGCCGACGCTTGCTGGACCCTCCGTCCTTTACCTTAATCAAAGCTGTCATAGAACTCTCACCACCACCACCAGCACCACCGGAACGAAAACACACAACAGCTGCTGCTCGCGCCTTACGCGCACACGTCCAATGTCACTCCTACCACCCCAGTGACCCCCGGGCGCTTCCTTGCACCTGTCCTGCAGTATGTCACCGCCGGCCCGCCTCCTTCCTCATCCAGCTGTCCCTTGCCGCTCCGATAGCTACTAGACCACCGCCACGCAACCATGGAGCACTTACGTACGGGGGTCTTAAAGGCCGACCAGGGACATTTCCTCCCCGCGGGCCCGACACCGTGTAGGGCCCGACGGGGATACAGACCGGACCAAATTACCTCCAGCATGCCGCTAGCTTTGCAGCGGATCCCGCCCCACATGGTGCAGCAGCAGCCCGCCCCGACAGTGAAGCTAGCGTAGCATTGTTGCCCATGCACGCAACATGTCGGCGGTACAACGGAACACGGTAAACCGCTGTGGCGCCCCGCATTTCGGACAAGGCGCTTGCCCCCGGCCCATAGCTAGGCCCCCAGTCTTTCACAAGGCTGGTTGCTTTGCGGCTTATGGAGTGCTCCCTAACGCCCCCTAACGCTGCACTGAGGGCGCCTCGCAGGACTAGCCGTCCTCTTCCTCGTCATCATCGCGTGCCTCCTGGTCCCTCTGCCTCTCCCGACCTCGCTCCCGATCCCTCTCCCGCTCGCGCTCCCGTGGCACCCTGCCATACTCCGTCCGGCCACGTTCACTGCCACCGCACGCGCCGCCACCACTGCCGCCCCGCTCCCGGACGCCCCCGCATCCACCGCCGCCTCCAGGCCCCATGCGCCCACCATGCGAGGTGCCGTGCTTCGTCGAGTGCGTCCCATTCAAAGCTGCCACTGCGCCGGAAGCCAAGCCTCTCGGGCGCTTCTCAACCTCCAGGTCGCTAATTGCGGTTCCGGGGTGCTCCTCGGAGCTGCTCTTATCGGAGTGTCTGTGGCGCTTAACGGGCTGCTCGTCGTCGCTGTCCCCGCGGAGTAGTCCACGGCCGCGGCCGCCGTAGTGGCCGTAGCCGTTGCGGTCCTTGCGGTCCGATATCTGCGCGGGGGAGGGGGTGTTAGCGTGCATGTATGTGTGCGACCTCTGTCTCACGAGCACATCCTGGGGATATATGTGCAAGTAAGACCAACCACCGATATATCCAAGCATCTCAGCGGCCCGGTGGCCTTGAGACCTAGAACCATGCCGCATCGAGAGGACGGAAGGGAGCGCACATGCTGGAGCCAGCCAGCGTGACGCGTGGGGACCAATCAGCAAACACACACACACATAGAGCAAGAGGCGCATGGGATTGATGGATTGCACGCTCAGCGATGTGGGGGACGTGTCGCACCTCGGTGCGGAGGAAGCGCAGCTCGTCCCGCAGCCGCTCGTTCTCCTCCTTCAGCCGCTTGTTCTCGTCTTCGAGCGATTGCGTGCGCCGCTCAAGTGAGGTAAGCTGCTGTTCCATTTCTCGTCGCTCGTCCTCCAAGATGTTCCGCTATCAGGTTGCCGAGGACAGATGAATTGAAAGGGGTTTCGCAAGGATGAATGAGGGTTTTCCTTGCCTATACTTATTCCTTTTTATAACAACTTCACATTATCATCATATTCACAATGCCTTAAAGAGTCTGAGAGGCCAACGACCGCTCCTTGCGGTTCCCGACAAGCATGGAAGCCCGAACATACTAAACCGACCTACCTCTTCCTCCAGTTTGCTGAGATGCTCCTGCTTTCGACGCCGAGACCGTCTAGCCGACTCGCGGTTACTCAGCATTCTGCAAGCACAAGTGTAAGAATTAACAAACACAAACGTTGCTTGTCGGAACGGGAAAACTCACCTTCGTGCACGCCTTTGATCCACTTTGTCCATGTCTTTATCAGAACTAACTCCACCTGCTGTTGAGTTGTTGGTCAACCGCGCGCCTAGGGACCCGAGCTGTCCGAGCTGCAGAGCTGCCGCGGCAGCAGCAGCAGGCGTGAGGGCTGCTGTCAGGGGGTTCGCCTGGGCTGCAAAGGCCGGTACGGCTTGAAGAGCTGCTCCTCCAACAGCCGCAAGTGATGCCAGATCCGAAAGCGCAGGTAGCCCCGGAAGGGGGTAACCCGCGGGTAACGGAGGGGCCGCAGGTAAAGCCACAGGCGCAGGCAAAGGAGGCACCGCGGCTGCCGCCTTCAGGACATCCGCTGGCTCCGGAACGCGGAATGCTGAAGCTCCTGTTGATGACGGAAGTGCTTCAGCCTTCACTGCAGGTGCTGCAGCCGCTGCTGGTGCTGAAGAAGCTGGGCCTGGGTAGTGAACGAGCTGCCTCAGCAGCTCCAGCGATGGCACCCGTGGAATACCGCCCACAGCAGCAGCAGCTGTTGTTACTACGTCAGATAGAACCACAGAAGGAAGCGACGAGGTTGAGGCGACCGGCTGTGAAGAAGTTCCACCAGCATTCTCTGCAACGGCCGCCGCAAGGTTTGTGGTTGAAGGTATTCGCTTCAAGAACTCTTGGAAAGCTGCCTCGGAGTCTGTGCGGCCCATCCCGGCCTGACCAAGTCGCCAGAACCCGCCTAAGAGGTCATCGACGCTAGTTTGTCTCTCCATAGCGCTCATCACTTGTTCGTTATACTTGAAAGCAGGATGAAAAAGCAACACCTGTACAAAAAGTTGGCAAAAGTTTTTCCCGAGTGCGAGCTGGGTTAGGGAATCGCGCCCAGCGTCTGACTAGATGACACGTCGCCTTGCGTACAACCCCCGTACTTCTCCTGCGCTTACTGGGATATGGGAAGCCGATGCGTTGTCGAGTATCCGCGAACAAATGTAAAGGAGACCAAGAATGCACTAACGTCCACGTACTTTGAGCAAGTGACCGCTGGCCTGCTCGTCTAATCCATGAACAAAGGTGACGACGTCCTTACTTCATAAAACAGGTCCTAAGAGTCACAAATATGAATCAGTTCACCATTATTTCCTTGGACCCTTGCCACTGTTGCGAGCTGGGCAATCCATATTGCGGCACGTTGCTCAACTTATGCACTTTGTACGACGTTTTAGCTACCGCGTGTCAGTTGTTGAGGTGCATAAGACGCCGTCACGACTGTCTGCGCTGCATCGCGCACAGTCAGGAATCGGTAAACATCTGGACATCTTTCGAGCTGCGGACTTTTTCCTCAGGGGTGCACAAACCCCCCAACCTCTTCCAGCAACAGCAATTTGTCTTATACGAGGAAGCGGGGATGGAGGCTACACATGCATTCATTTGTTTGATGTATATCCTAGTAACGGTAAAGTGCCAGCATATGTTGATGGTGCTCCAAAGCCCAATCCTACCTCCCCAACAGCCTCAAGACGCGGAGATGCCACATTCGCCAATTGCAGGGAGTTAAAACGGCCCATGGGTCCTGCGCCAGTCTTCGGAAAAAGAGTGCAAGGCAATGAACAAGACGTAGCAATAGATAAAGGGAATGACATTCAAGGTTAACCTTTCGCATCGGCATGCGCGCCAAATATCCTTTGTGGCTTGTCTGTCAGGAATGAGCTCTCCTGTCCAACAATTTAAGTCCCGTTATGTACCTCTCTTCCAGGCATCCTCCAAACACCGCCCTCCTCTCGTACCAATCCTCTCCCGCCATGAATACTAGCACCCGCACTTGAAGCTCTACTGGTCCCTTATGGCACTTAGCCAACGACGATGGCTGATGTCTTTCCGGTACGAGCAGTTGCGGCTCTTCCCGTCACCACGTCCCGATTTCGGTCAAACCGGACAAGACAGGAAAGACAGGACCGGCTTCCACCATCACTTTCATGTTCACGGCGGGCGGGTCCACTTGATCGCCTAACATCACTAAGTACAGCTCCAGAGACACAGAGACGCGCCGGCCAGCTGCATGTCACGCAGCCTGTCTGGCTCGCTATGCCCCTAACCCATCATCACCCTCGAATATGTGCTCATCCGCAGGCACCGGAATTACATCCTCGTCCTCCGGGATGATGTCTTGGCCGTCCTGACCATCGCCCTTAGCCTCGTGCCCCTCCACCGCACCACCTGCCGCATCCCCACCAGCCTCCCCGCCGCCCTGCTCCTGCTCCTGCTGCCCCTCACGCCCCTCTCCAGCACCTCCGCCTGCGACCTCCTCGCCTTCCTGCCCGCCCGCCGCCTGCAAAGCACCACCGGGGCCCCCGCCGGCCCCATCCCTGCCGCCACCGCCGCCCCCGGCACCCCCACCGCCAGCTCGCCCTGGGTGGCCGCCTTGCGTCCTCTGCCGCTTGAAGTCCTGCCGACTGCCGCCACCCGCGTCCATGCCTATACCCATCTGCTCCATCATCTCCGCCTGCATAAGTTTGCCGTAGCCGCCCCGGCCCGGGTCGTAATCCTGACGGAACTCGTCACGCACCTGGGGGCAGGGGGCAGCATGTGTATGACACGGGGCAGGGGGGCCGCGGCGGGTTGCAGGGGGGTCGGTCCAACGTGAAGCCATAACGACGGAACAAACGACACCCCCCCTCCAGAACATCCACCTCCTGGTACGATTACACAGCTTCACACAGCTTCATGAAATATGAAGTAAAAGTAACCTTGCTGTCTTACCGGATGGAAGTTCTCGGCAATTGGAACCGCTGGCAAAGCCAGACGATGTGTGCGTTCCCTACCAACCTGCCCGAAGCTCGGGAGCCCCGTGGATTGCACATTTCAGGCTTCACATTGCAATCCCATCTGCAGCTCTCGCCTAATCCCCAAGCCTACAAACCGCCAGATGCCGCCAAGCAGCTGAGCAGGTCAGGTCTCCTACCCCTTCCACAGCTCCTGTCCCACCTGGCCGCCCGAGCGCCCCCGACCGTACTGCCGCCCCTCAACGAAGCCCCAGTCCAAATCCACACGGATCGCTCGGTCGTCCACCAGGGTGCCGTTCAGGAAGGCGACCGCTTCCTCCGCGTCCTGCAGGTGAAGAGCGTGCATGGCGAGCCCTGGATAAGAGTCAAGCGAGCGATGGGCAGGCGTGTGTGTGTGTGTGTGTGTGGCTAGGTGGGCTGAAGGGTGCGGAGCATTGCAAGCTGGCTAGGCTGAGCCGACTTGGCAGTGGCCCCCGGAGCCCCCCGACCAGCGCCAGGCGCTACCTTTCTGGTGTAGTAGATGGCGAAGGCGAATCCGCAAGGGGTCCTCTGGATCTTGTCCAGGCCCATGACGATGCGCTTGATGTGGCCCACCCGCCCGAACACATCGTACAGCTGCTCCTCGCGAGTGGTGAAGGCGAGGTTGCCGACATATATCGTTGTGCTCGTTGCTAGCGCATTCTCCCAGTCGGTCTGAGCAGATCCAGGGGCAAGCACAGCGGGGTGGTGTACTTGATGCGGGCTGTTGTAGGGTCTAAGGACACGGCCGTCCACATAGGACGTACATCCCTCCTTGCCTCCGACCCCAATTCGCGAGGTGCTGCACGGGCGTACCGGAGATGCATTAGCATATGGGTTCAATGCTCAGATCACAGCAGCTGGGACTGTGACACAGTGAAGGCCCCTCTGATTGCGCTGGCAATGTCCCGAACCCTGGGTTACATTGATTTCCCATAAATAGTTATGATTGCTCCTGCGTGTGAGTTAATGAGCTCCCCCAAGGACATGTTGGGAGGGGACACGCCGGCTAGGAGTTTGACGACGGCGCCAACTCCCGGACCCGCCACGTAATGAGACGTAAACGCACCTCGCTGCCTTCGAAGCGCCTATCTCTATATTGTGTGATTGCCGGATTCAAGACCTGCATCGTGCTTAAAGTCAGCGGCTGACAGGAAAAGGAGCATAGATGTAGATAGCAGATTCAGTCAGCTGACCTTAAGCAGCTTCGACATTTACTGTATCAAGATGTTAGCCTCATACAGTTATGCTGAGCGGCGCAGTCTGCGTCTCCTACAGCCAATTTGAAGTCGACTTACTCGGGCTAAAGTGTTCAAAACTGTATAATTTATTGTACATGTGTCGATATGTACAAGGGTGCCCGTAAATTCCGCAAACTTCCAATTGTTGAGAAACTACTTCGTACGTGCATAATGCAACGGCTTCAACCGGCTGGCTCTGGGCATCTGACGTCCTGAACCTCCGATTATATAAATCTTCAAAGCTCTGAAGGTCTTCCTCTGTCCACCTGATTACTGCAAATTCCAGCAGGGTTTTAGAATCTCTAAGCTCTCCGTAACTACCCCGGGACCCGGTACGTAGTCCTCGGCACGGCCGAGCAGCATGCTGTCCATCTCCAATCGGCTTCGGAGGTCCCGAGTATTGAGTATCCTAAGCAAGAGGGGTCCGGAAGAAGAGTTAGCTTCCCGACGTTTGCTGCGACAATACTTCGGCAGCCGTCCCTAGCCTAGTCTCTCGCACCACTTCGAATCTCCCTCCTCCGTCTGCACAAGAGCGGCAACTCGCATATCCAGCACATACAGGGCCCGCAAGGGCAGTTAAGACCCGCAGGCGGCCCATGCACGGACAGCATTTGGCCCACGACCAGAGGTAGCACTGCACCCTCCGGAATGAGGGCAGGGCAATGGGGCCCTATACCGTATATTACATATACAGTGCGACATTTAAACACACTTCCTGGCGTCAACTGTGACATTAAAAAACTTTTCAATAGGCCCCTGGTAATCTGATGGTCGGAGGATCACCGAAAATCCTGGAGGTGGTCCCATATGAAGCCCGAAACCTGACTGCCCCCAAAAGCCGAAGGAGCGCCATAACCGCATGCCGTACAAAAAACGGCAATCTCCTCTCCGACCTCTCCTCTCCGACTTTATTGTGACACGGCCATCACACTTATTAACCGTCATGAACACCCCCCGGGGGGTCTATATCGGGGTCCACTTGCCCTCCCAAGAAGCTGAAGTCCGAAGTCACACAGCAGGCTACATCAGGCCAAATGTCACCGTCGAAGGAAGGCGTCAGGGTGGGTGGATGCAAGGCGTATGGCACCTCCTCCCCCGGGGCCCACCAAGCTCCGCCGTTTCGCACAACAAAAAACCCCACACGCCTGCCCCCACCGCCAAAAGAGTCAATCGCGGTTGCCGGGCCCCAAGGCCCCCCAAGGCCATGACCCTCATCAAAGTACATCTTAGCGGTCGCAAGGGCCCCCACAGAGCAGAAAGGGACACATGGGCGCAACCAGGCGCCGCAAGGCTGAAAATGCTGTTGATGCCGGTGATGATGGTGATGATGATGATGTCAACGCCGATGAGCTGCTCTTACCGGGCTCCAGCCTCTCCACTCCCCGTGCAAGGGGCAGGAACAGGCGGCGCAGGCAGCCGCGGCTGACTGGCGGCTCGGCATTCAGAAACCAGCCCTGCAAAGTTGGTGACACCACAGAGCCCCAACGGCCTGAAGTTGACCGGGAGTGAGGTGAGGGCAGTGAGGGGCAGCAGTTTCCGGGATGGTGCAGGGTTCAGCCGGAGGGCAACACATCTCAAGCAGAGATCAATAGGATAGGAGGCAGAGAGGATGGCGGCATGCAGAGGGCAGCATGGCACTTATGGTGTGCGGACCGCGTGCATGCAAAAGTGTGAAGCAGGCTGGGAGATGCGGCAGCTATGACATGCACGGCACGGTCTACAGCACACGCAGGCCACACACACAAGCATGCACACACATGCAGGCACACACAGGCACACACGGGGGTCGCCACCACATGTCCCTACAACAGGAATGTCCACAGCAAAAAAGCACATTGTGCCGCGGCGTGCTTGCTTGCTTCCTTTTTCACCAACACGAGACATAGCTTGAAAGTATAATCCAAGATACAAGATAACAACGGCCACAGCAACAACAAAGAATGACAATCACAGGCTCTGACTTCAAAACAGAAGGGCAGCAGCAGCCCGACCTACCGCGATATCGCTGCCAGGGGGAGGTGTCGTGGACCACCGTGGGCAGGGGAAATGGCGACCGGCGGGCCCCATGCAGCCCCCCACCGCCATCACCGTCGTCCAGATGGCCACCTCCTCTCCCCGCCGGCACCGCCTCCCCAACGGAAGGGGGGAAAGCTCCCTGGGCCGCTTGGCTTCCTGGATCCACCCTTGATGATACTGCCAACCCTGTCATCAGCATCACCTCCGGCTCTAGCATTGCGGTCGGCGGCAGCCCTCCCACTTTACCTACCGCCACCGGCCCCCTTCCCTCCTCCTCCTCCTCAGCCTCGCCAGGTACCGCTGCCCCCTCAGTGCCGCCCGCGAGCACCACCGAATCGCAGTAGCCCCAATGGCGACCCCAACCCGCAGTAGCCCCGGCGGCAGGTGGTGGGTGCAGGAGGCGGCAGGTGGGCGGAGGTGGACCGCCGCTGCACAGGGGGGATGCATGTGGCAGGCTGCATCCCCTGGACCGTACGACAGGGCACCCAAAGCCGTGAGCCTGTGGTGTGTTGAAAAGGATTCCATTCAGGTCTTGCTTGTGCGTGCGTGTGTGTGTATTGAGTTCTGTGAACATTACAAGTATCTGACCGGGCCCGACACTGGCCAGGGACTGCTGCCCAGCCCCAACATGTGTGTGCATGCACGTGTGTATGCATATATGTGTGTGTGCATGTGTGTGTGCATGTGTGTGTCTGGGGCAGCAAAACTGCACTGACATATCCCCGTCAGTGTGGTCCACTCGGTGGTGTCATACATGGATGCAGCCAGGGTGGTGGACCGCATCCACTTATGGGCTGAAACGGCCATGAGGGAATCGGTGGACAAATGCCAGACTAAAGCTCTGCCTGGTTTGGGTTGACACTACTGTAATTAGCAATTTCAGGTCCTGGGTTCGATTCCCGGGAAGACTCCCGGATTAGTCGGGAGCGTTAGATTATGGCTAACCGCTGAGATGTGGAGTTGAGGTCACAGTTGATGGACCAGATTCGCACGCTGGATCGGTGGCGATTGCCAAACCCTCCGTCTCTTCGGGTGTTCGGGTGAATGGATGAGGGGGAGTCCTGAAGGCTGGATCCGCTGCATTGGACTTACAGTTCGTATGGTGAAGTACAGTGTGATGGTGGTGGATGGTGCTATAAGGTGATAAAGTCGTAGAACTGTCAATGTGATAAAGCGGCCCAGAAGCCTTCCACTCTGTAACATTACATTACATTACATTACAGGAGTTCCTCAATGCGATGGAGGTCTGGTGTTATGTGACGAGGTGCAGAGCCTGTTCCTGCTGACCATCGGCGGCAAGCTGGATGTGAGCAGGGCTGCATACATCCGCGACTCTTTCATGAAGCCGCTTCTGGAGTAGGCTTCAACCCGCGTCCAGCTGCATCAGGGTAGTGCTAAACTCCAGGCCACTCCAGCTCTCCCACAGCATGCCATCATTGTTGGACAGCAACCGCACGATCTGGTGCTTGTGTGAGCTGCAAAAGTAGTATCCACCATCCTGTCCAGGTGCAACTCCAGGAATCACTCTAAGGTGCTGCTCTGTGATGATCTGCGCCCCCATGTTTGGAAATGCCAGTTCCAGCATGGTGATGCGCTGTGATGATGGCATGCCCTCCAGACCCAGCTTCCAAGCCTTGAGTGACTCATCAATGAGCTTCATCCTCATGAATCTACGGTCCTGGTGGACAATGGGTCAATGCTGGATGCCCCAGGGATGTGGCAGCCTTCATCCGTGGATTCATGAGGATGAAGCTCATTGATGAGTCACGTAAGGAGTGGAAGCTGGGTCTGGAGGGCATGCTGTCTTCACAGCACATCACCATGCTGGACCTGGCATTTCCGAACGTGGGGGCATGGATAGACATGGAGCTGCACCTAAGAGTGATTCCTGGAGCCACACCTGGACAGAATGGTGGATGGCCACTACTACTTCCATGACTCACACCAGTGCCAGATATTGTGGTTGCTGTTTAACAAGGATGGCACGCTGCGGGAGAGCTGGAGCAGCCTGGAGTTCAGCACTACCCTGATACAGTTGGACACGGGTTGGAACCTACTCCACCAGCAGCAGCTTCATGAAAGAGTCACGGATGTATGCAGCCCCGCTCACATCCAACTTGCCGCCAATGGTCGGCAGGAACAGGCTCTGCACCTCGTCACATAACAAGCACCAGCACCTCCACCACCTTGAGAAACTCCTGGATGGCATCGTTCAACAATGATGGCACACTGCAGGAGACTGGATGGAGCTGACATCTACCAGTGGACAAACACCAGACTAAAGCTCCCTCACCCTTGCTGGTCTTAGGGCTCGTGAAGACGGGCAAGTAGTTCACCCTGGAGCACATGGTTCCTGGGGTTGTGGTGGAGGCGCTGCACCAGCAGGGAGGGGAGGGCCCCTTGGCAGGCATGGTGGTCCTGCACCTGAGTGGTGTTGTGCTGCATCTGCAGGAAGGCACTACGGCCATGTTGTGGAACCTGCTGGGTGTGTTGCTGAGATGGGCATGGAAGGAACATGTTCCCATGCGGGAGGGTGCGCTGGAGGCTGCAGAGGATGTGCTGGTGTGGCCCTTCTTCAGCACCGACCCCGGCATGCTGGGCGATGCCATCCAGGAGTTCCTCATGTGATGGAGGTCTGGTGTTATGTGACGAGGTGCAGAGCCTGTTCCTGCTGACCATCGGCAGCAAGCTGGATGTGAGCAGGGCTGCATACATCCGCGACTCTTTCATGAAGCCACTTCTGGAGCTCCAACCCGCATCCAGCTGCGTCAGGGTAGTGCTAAACTCCAGGCCACTCCAGCTCTCCCACAGCATGCCATCGCTGTTGAACAGCAACCGCACGATCTGGTGCTTGTGTGAGCTGCAAAAGTAGTATCCACCATCCTGTCCAGGTGCAACTCCAGGAATCACTCTAAGGTGCTGCTCTGTGATGATCTGCACCCCCATGTTTGGAAATGCCAGTTCCAGCATGGTGATGCGCTGTGATGATGGCATGCCCTCCAGACCCAGCTTCCAAGCCTTGAGTGACTCATCGATGAGCTTCATCCTCATGAATCTACGGTCCTGGTGGACAATGGGTCAATGCTGGATGCCCCAGGGATGTGGCAGCCTTCATCCGTGGATTCATGAGGATGAAGCTCATTGATGAGTCACGTAAGGAGTGGAAGCTGGGTCTGGAGGGCATGCTGTCTTCACAGCACATCACCATGCTGGACCTGGCATTTCCGAACGTGGGGGCATGGATAGACATGGAGCTGCACCTAAGAGTGATTCCTGGAGCCACACCTGGACAGAATGGTGGATGGCCACTACTACTTCCATGACTCACACCAGTGCCAGATATTGTGGTTGCTGTTTAACAAGGATGGCACGCTGCAGGAGAGCTGGAGCAGCCTGGAGTTCAGCACTACCCTGATACAGTTGGACACGGGTTGGAACCTACTCCACCAGCAGCAGCTTCATGAAAGAGTCACGGATGTATGCAGCCCCACTCACATCCAACTTGCCGCCAATGGTCGGCAGGAACAGGCTCTGCACCTTGTAGCATAACACAAGCACCAGCACCTCCACCACCTTGAGGAACTCCTGGATGGCATTGTTCAACTATGATGGCACACTGCGGGAGACTGGAGCTGACATACTCTCCACTCCCTACTCTGCATGTAGGAAGTTGATTTTCCATCCGCTTCCTCCATCATTACATGATTCCACCCTCCCCCTTCCCCTTTCCCATGCCAGCAGCAGCAGCAGCAGTGGCAGTGGCAGCAGCAGTGGCAGCAGCAATACGGCACCACCCCCCACCTCACCAGTCCACACAGCCGTACAAGGCGGGTGGGGGCCCACACGGGTCCTCGTCGGGAGGTGCGGTCATTGACGATGAAGAACAGCCTGTGGATGGTGCCGCACTGCGTGTTGGGTGGGTGGGTGGGTGGATAAGGAATTGATATAATGATAACTAAGGTAATACAGTAATTCGACTAACTAATTAATGAAAATCATCTTGTGTTTCTGGTGAAGCAGCTGGCAACGTTTATTGCGGCTTTACAGGGTGACCGGCTGTACAGTGGGGGTAGTAGCTTGCTGTGCATATGTGGAAGTGTTACATGAGTGGGTATGGACAGCTTGTTGAAACGGCTGGATGCACATCACATCCATTTACATGTTTGTTAAGAAGGGAAATGCATCACAACCCGGCACTGTTGACGACACAAAGTTTGTGGAACTGCAGTGCATTTTAGGGATGTAGGCAGGTCTTTAGGCACCAAAACAAGGGGGCTGCTGTGGTGAATGCAAGTTGAGACCAGTCTTTCCTTGAAGAAATACAACACAAAATACACCTAATGCTGCGAATGCACCTGGTGCTGCGAAATACACCTAATGCGCCAGCAACATGCAGCAACCGTTGTGTGCATCAGCCTGCTGCATCAACCGAAGCTGCATGTGCCCAGGTTTAATGCCGTTTGGTGATTACACAAAACTGTGCGACCCTTCAGGGCTCCACTCGGGTCAGATCAACACCAGGACCGCTCTTGGCGGCAATGCTGTGTCCATCATGCAGTGTCAAGCATGATGCTTTTGAAGGCTGCCCCTTGCGACCTAGTCGCCGACCTAGTGTGACCTAGGCCCTCTCACCAAGCCAAGCTGGGACTGTTCACGGATGACCGGCCCTATTTGCTTTTTTTTGCCATTTATAGCCAGTTCACATGCTACGTTACGTTAAGACTTTTTGGGAAAAGTGGTCGGTTCGGACATGGTAACGGTACGTTACCGGTAAAGTGGACGAAAAGTCTAAAGTGACCCGGGGGGGGGGGTGGTGAATTTCGACCCCTCGTACCGTTACCTGAATTGCGTCGCCAATTTCGCGAGTTATAACAAACAGCCAAGCCCAATCGCTTATAAAGACCACATATTTGACAAATTGTGCGCGCTTTGCACTCCGACCGAATTTCTAGTCACACCGCTGCAGTTTATTTTGGAAAATGAACAAGGATAACGCCGCTCGTGTTGCTCGCCCGCGCACGACCGCTTACATAGCCAATATGTAAACCATTGTAGTATCAGGGCTGAAGCCATCCGCGAAATGGCAAGTCGGCCGCACTTCCGGCGGCATGGGCCGCGCCGCGTCGGCCCACACGCTCAAGCACTGCCATTGAGAATTGAACCTATCCTCAAGGTTGTCAAAAATTTCATCCATAGCGGCCGCTAGGGCAAACGCCATCGCGGCTCGCGCGGGATGCAGTGCCATTGCAGTAGGCAGGGCTGCCAATAACCCGTCAATTATATATTGCGATTCTAAGGGGATGTGCTGAAATTTTGGCCATTGAAAGACATAAAATGGAGATGGTTTACACAGCTCGCGCCAACGAACACAACGTCGTCGTAATGTCCCATGTGAACTGGGTGACTTTTTCAGGCCCACTTTTCCAAAAAAGTTTTCGCAACGTAACGTAGCATCTGAATCCAGTATTACTAGCAGGAGGCGATTTCCTTAATGGTGTAGTATTTTGGAACTCTGTTAGCATTGTTTTGGAAGGTTTATAATTCTGTAAAATTGCAGTGCATTCGGGTCTGTAGGCGGGCCATATTGTACAGCACCGAATGTGTAACACAGCAAAGGCGTAACCCGGGATGCTCAGTTGGGCCTTGTGTCGTTACATTGCCCCCCCCTTAGCAATGGACGTCCTCGGCCATTATATCGAGCACAGAGTGCATTCGGGTCTGTAAGCGGGCCATATTGTACAGCACCGAATGTGTAACGCAGCAAAAGCGTAACCCGGGATGCTCAGTTGGGCCTTGCATCGTTACATTGCCCCCCCCCTTAGCAATAGACGTCCTCGGCCATTATATCGAGCACAGGAGCCATCCCACTTCACGCTTTCTGCGTTAGTTTATCCATTACACCATGATATCGCATTCTGCGATACCTGCTTATTGTCAGAATCGAACCGCCGACCCGAAGATTTCTCGATACCATTGTAACACAGCAAAGGCGTAACCCGGGATGCTCAGTTGGGCCTTGCGTCGCTACAGAATGACTGTTATTCGTGAGCTGCTCATTAAGTGTCTCATTTCTTCATTGAAAGATTCCTTAAAATTTTGCCGCTTTATTCCCACGTAGCCACAAGCTTTCCATTAAGTGGGTGTATGTCTTTTCCGTCTTTTTTTCCTTTTGTTTTGGTTGCTTGTAATCATTTTGCCTGTAATTCATTCTTTGTTTTCGCTTTTTTCGCATTTAAGCAGCTGCTTAAGCCGCCTCGCCTCCCGTTCGGCTTTTGCACGCCCGCGAATTTTAAAGACATAAGTGTGAAGCCCGCGATCCTGGCTTTTGAGGGTTGGCCTTTGCGCGGCCCGCCGTGGCCTTCGCATTCTGGCTGTGTACGGATCGTTTACTCGGTCGTACCCTGTGTCACGTTACTGTGAGGGGCTGCTTAAATATCATCATTATTTAATATTTTGATAATTTGCTACGAGAGCAGGTGGGTTAGATACGAATTATGAACGCATTCGTTGCCGCTTTGTCGTGTAGGGGGCCCTCCAGTGGATCAGGTGCACGAAGGCCCGATGATGATGCTTAGGGGGTGGCGTCATGGCGAGCCCAGCCCAGCCCAGCCCAGCCCAGCCCAGCCCATGGTCACTACTGTCACATGTCCCAATGGCCCCTCCTCCCCCGGCCTGGTGCCCTCAGTCCCCAGTGCTCAGTACTCAGTCCCCCGACCCCACCTTGGGGTATATTCCGTGACCGTTGATGGCCACAAACCCCAGGATGCGGCCGCAGGGGGTGCGAGGAACCGCCACCCCAGGGACCCACTCGCCCTCAATATTGCGGTGCGCGTTGTACCAAACCCCCTGAGTACCTCAGAGGGCACCAAGGGGGCATAGTAGGCATAGAGGGGGGCGGGTGGGGTGAGCAAACATGCAATATGGGTTGCATGAGAGTCTGGTGCACACAGCCACCATCCCCCCAAACCCCTCACCCCCCCCACACACGTACAAAAACTGTGTTGCGGACAGGGCCGAAAGGAAGTTGCAATCGAAAGGCTCTCTCGCTCCCACCCTCTGTCCCCAGCCCTCCCACATGCGCATGTCTATATGCTGCACACCAATCCACCCGCCGGAGCCCCCTTCACCCCCCCGGGAGCAGTTCCAACTCCATCAAGTCCCTCCATCAGTTCATTTCCCCCGACCGGTGCTCTAAAGCCTTCCCAGTTAGGTCTTGGCCGACAGCTTGTGGTTTCTCTTTTCCTAGCCCCTCCCTCCCTCCCTCCCTCCCTGGCAGCCTTGGCAGCCCTGACAGCAGCTTCATTCGTTCGTGGTTCGTCTTTTCCCCCCCTCCCTCCCTCCACACACACCCTCCCTCCCTCCCTTCCCTGTCCCCTCCCTCCATCCCTCCATCCCCCCACCCTCCCTCCATCCCCCTCCCTCCATCCCCCCACCCTCCGTGCACACGGCCCAAACCCACACGGCCCCGCCCCCGGTTCCACCTGTAGCTCCAGGGAGGTGGCATCTAGGCGCACCGTCAGGTGCTCCCAGTCTGGAAATGGTGGGGGGAAGCACGATGTGGGGGGGGGGGAAGTGGTCGTACAAGGGTTGGTGACGGTGGTTGCAGTTGGGGGCCAGGGTGGGCCAAGGGGGAAAGCCGAACCACGAACGAGTGAAGCTGCTGCCAGCGCAAGAGTGTACTAGACGTAGAACCGACCAAAAGGCATTCTTGAAGGGGGCGACCTCGGGATGATGTAGCGAAGAAGATGTCGGAAAACTACCTACCTAGCCGCCAAGACTAAAATAAGCGCAGAAGAAAAGCAGTAATGCCAAGCCGTAAAGAAGTAAAGGTAGAGGTGTAGAGGCAACGGAGAAGTAGTAAAAAAACTGCTGATGTGAAGCCGGAATAAAGTTTGCCGCCGGCCTGGTGGCGGCATTGACGAGGTTTGGCCAAGAACTGGCTGGTTAGCTGGTAATAAAAAGCTGGTGATATGCAAGTGCTCCTCCCAGCACCCCAAAAAAATGCACGACCAACCCGACCGACCCGACTATCCTAGTCCGGCTAGCCGACCGACACAACGCGATAAACCGACAAAGCTCAAACCTCCTTCGGACTCACCTGGCCAGGCAGCAGAAGCAGCGGGCAAAGGCACATGCGAGGCATGAGGTGGGAGAGTTGTGAGCAGCGAACGATAAAGACAAGAACGCATGCGAATGCTGCTGGAAGGAAGTATTAAGCTGGCTGACCGGGGAAGCTGGGGATAAGAAGCCCTAAAGAACCTCTGTGAAAGCGGAAGAAAACGCAGGGACTAAAAAGTACAAATGCAAAGGCGGCACAGGACGACACAGAAGGTGTCGTACGAGATGACGGAATTGACAACGGGATGACGCATTGGACGACGTGTACGCCGGCAGAACGAACGCAAAGAAGGTAGAAATGGAGAAGTGGGTTGGAAAGAACGCAAAAGGAAGGCCAAAGGGAGGAGAGGGAGTTGGTAGGAAGAGAATCGCATGTGCGGGCCAAGGGGAGGGGGAGGGTCTCCAATCGACTCTGATGATGTTGCCATGTACGGCAGTGCCGCCATGCTCCAACTGGGTGGTGAGGGGGCGGTACGCATACACACCTGGTGGTGCGGGGATGGCCACACAGAGGGCCGCAACCACCAACCACCAACCACCAGTTGAAAGCATCGATGCCGCACCCTAACATCCAACTCCGGACATCACCACCCATATGCCACCTTAGCACCAGTACTACCACCATGCCTTGGTCGCTGCTGCCTTCACTCGCCGTTTGAGGAAAGGAAAGGTCCTGTCTGTTTGCATGTATGCCTGGGCCCCTTTTATTCATCCCCCCCAACCCCAACCCCGCGCCCGCAACCCCCACACGCGCCACCCGGCTGGTAAGCTGATCCCCCGACCCGCCTCACCCCCCACGTGGTGGCCTGTACGGAAGAGCGGCACATTGGCAGGAATATGGTAGTGTCCGTTAAAGGCATAGAAGGTGATGTAGTTGATCTCGTAAGCCTCCGGTTGTCCGCTGTCATCCACCACGAGCTGCGGTGGGTGGGTGGTTGGGTGGAGGCGGGGTTGGGGGTTGGGGGGGGACTGGACAGGCCTGCACGGAGGTGAAGGCGAGCGAGGGTGCTTGTGAAGGTGGTGTTGCGCGGGAGACTGGGCCCCAGGAGGAGTTGGTGCCGGTGCGGCGGTGGCGGTGGTGGTGGTGGTGGTGGTGGTTTCGGTGGTGGTAGTGGTGGTGCTGCTGCTGACAGGTTGGGTTACGGCGCAGTACGACGACCACTGCTGAGGGGATATGGTCGGGAGCTTTGCCTCGGCAAGGCGGGGTTGTCATTGCACGGGCCTAAGGCGCGAGGAAACCTACATCTCGGGAGGCTGAGGGAACCAGGCGGGAAGCACGGATGGAGTGAGGTAGGCAGTTCCAGTGGTAAAGCCCAACACCCAAAGCCAGGTGTGTGTGTTTATGTGTGTGTCTGTGTGTGCCACTGTGGCGGTAGCGTGGGGAAGGTAGTGGTAGGTAGAGGTGTGACGGGCCTGTATGGGGGAACACGAGCGCGTGATGGCGGCTCCCAAGCAATGCCACATTATAGGCTACCGCTTTCTGAATGTTGTTGGCGTCTCCCTTGCCCCTGCGCTTCCGGGACGGGTTGCTTGCCTTCGCATGTGCGTAGATAGGCACATCCTCCAGCCGGCCGTGTGTGCCTCGGTAGTGCTCGGGACCAACGGTGATGCTGAGGTTGCATGGGTTAGGAGTATTGGCTTGAGCTTCTGCGAGGAAGGAATTTGCGGCAACTGCCTTTCCTGACCCAAAACTTCCTTGCGAAGCCTTCACAGGCATTAGAAAGTCATCGTTACCAAGTAGTTTATCTTGCGTCACCTCTCCTCCTGGTATGAGTCTTATGACACCGCCCGGTATGCGGGACAGCTCATGTAGCTCCGCAGCACCCGTGACACCTTTTGTGTAATAATTTAGCTGTGCTCTTTCAATAAACCACTCTACAGAAACCGGTCGGTAAGCGTCTTCGTGATGTAAAAAAAGGACTGGGCAATAAGTTGCTAGAATGCTATCGGGAAGTGCGGGCGTTGAAATATTTTGACCTGACTGCATTTCTTTGCTGGATTTACATAAAAGCTCGGCCAGGCCGCGCGAATTCTTTCTTTTACGGCGGCGATAACGTTAAAGGATTATGCTGCGTTTCTACGGCGTTAGCAATGGCCTCGCATGGTCACCCCTGTAAACGTGCGTTTTGAGTATGGCAATGATAACATTGCAAAGATTAGGATGGTTTCATACATCTTCCACATGCATGTTCCTCCACCCATCGGCCGGCATGCTGCATCTGAGTATTATTAATGAAGTAAGGAATGAATGTGGTTTACCCCGTACAATCACTAACAATTTACAAAACGTAAGTGAAGGACAATATAGAAACAAGCCCACCCAGCTCGAAGCCGGCCCGGTGCGTGGAGCGAAAAGGGAGAAAACGCAAGGGAGAAGCTCCCTTAGCCGTCGTCGTAGCCACCAGACGCAATGTCCACCAGCCACCACTGCATTCCGCTGCTCCATTAGCTTCTCCTCCACTACACGTGCCAATGCAGCTGTGACCATTCACCTACCCGCAGCAATACACTGCACCTCCGCACCCCGCCCGATGTGCGTGTAAGTCAACAACTCAAGTCGCCAACTCAACAAAACCTCATTGAAAAGGGGAAGGAAAGTACTTCACTGCACCTAGCCCGCCACGTGCCGGGCGACATACATACATACATACACCAAACACCGAGGTCCCTCGCCAGGTAAAACATATTCATCATAAACACACATAAACACACACATAAACACACACATAAACACACACATAAACACAGCACATGTACTCTGCGGCGGTTTACACCCACACCGGCCCTCACACCTCCACACGGACCTCCTGCTCTAGGTACAGCTTGAGCGTGATTACCTTGAACGGCCCGTACTCAATGTCCACCGAACCGCCCGCACCGTCCCAGCGAACCACCAGCAGGCCCGCCTTCCCGCCACTCCCATCTCCCCCCTCCGCCCCCTCCCCCTCCCCCTCCACGCCCCCTTGGTCCTCCTCAAGGAGGTTGCACAGCGCCACGTGGCTCACACGCAGCCAGGCGGGCCACCTGACGCGGGCCACACCGCGGCCGCCGTGGGGCTCGTACAGGCGAACCACCAGGGCCCCCGGCGGCTCGTCTGCGGGCGCTCTGGCGCCCCGGGCGACGCTGCTGGCGACTGGCGACGTCAGTGAGCAAGTAATGGTGTTTGTGGTGTTAGTGGTGGCGGGTGTGCACAGCGGCGAGTACGAGTGTGCGGGTGAGGGTGAGGGTGAGGGTGAGGGTGACATGGTGTACAAATGCCGTGGTGTCGCCTGTGGTGGTCGTGATGTTGATGTTGTTGTTGTTCGCGATTGTGGTGGTGGTGCTG